GTGGTTTAGGGTCTCAGGCTGGCTGATGCAAACAGACAAAAGAGTCAGAAAATGAACCACTAAGGAGTGACAAGTGAGAGGCTTAACATTTTAACAGAAAATATTAATGGCTGAGTAATTCTTAATAAATATGGTCAAGCACCAGGCAGGTAGCGAAAACTCAAACTTGAAACCATGAAGACCTTTAGACATGATGTGGTAGGGGTGACTTTTTGCTTTCAAGTCTGTCTCCTATATCTAACTTCATAGACGACAGCCGTGCAGCCAGATGTGTCACCTTAAACCGAATCTCATGCTTCTCCTGTTGTCGCATTTTAAAATGAGGAAAATGCAGAATCTTCTGTTAATATTAATTTACAGGTCTCTTTGCAGGCTCCACTGACATAAACCATGGCACTATTCTTCCTCTTCTTTCTCTAAAGGGCTGTTATTCACCAGAATGATTCCTATTAGGCAAAACTTTACAGATTATACAAGCAAAAATAGCATCTAAGTGTGCACAAGCAGTTCCTACAGGGAAACATGTATTTAAAAATGTGGTGGACACTGTCACACTTATGGCCACCTACACTAGTTACTAGGAATGGGATTTAGTACTCACCAATCACTAGTGTCCACCTGAGACTTCAATTCAAAAGCAGCAATGTGAAGAAATGAATGAGAAAATCCATCTTTTGTGAGGAAGGTAGTAGAAGCATCTACCGGGAAAAACTGGGGTGGCACTTATGGCACACTGTGCCCCACAATGTCAAGCAAGCTGTGACGTCAGTGTAGGGCTTCACTGGGCCAATCTCCAGGGCGCAGTCTGGGGAGCGCACCAGTTTACCTAACCTGATGTGAGGTGTCCTGTGGATTTCCAAGTGTCCTTTAACATTTGTTTTCTGTTTATGTTAACTAGAGAGTGCTTATGTTAACTGTGGTTTCAATTAAGATTTCTGTGTGCCAAAAAGCAAAAATAATTTGGGCTCACCCTCTGTCGTTTTATCCAAATTACAGTAAAATAACTATCAACTCAACAATAAACACAACAGTCAGCAGAGGAGAGCCTGTCACAGGAACGGTACTGTCTGAGAGGCTGTACAGGAACTGAGAGGAACAGTGCGGGACGTGGACTGTGTAGACACATAAAGATGAGTAAGTACACTCGTGAAATAAAGGAAAATGACATTTAGTAAATACAGAAGCATCTAGGTAGTGATTGTGATGATGCAAACAGCACACTGCCAATACTGATAAGGCTGAAAATTTTTAATGAGTTATTAGAATGACAGTACTGACTGATGTTAATCTATCATATTGCTAAAGTAATCAAATGTATTTTTATAACTAATAAGTCAGTAATATGAGAAAGAGATTTACAAAGCACATATGTGATAAGAGATTAATACTTAGAATATACAAAGAAGTCCTACAACTCAACAATTAAAAAAAAATTCCAAACTGGGCTAAGGACTTTAACAGACATTTCTAAAAAGAAGATAATACAAATGCACAATCAGTACATTAAAAGATGTCATCCTCTTTACTTATTAAGGAAATGCAAATCAAAATCATAGTCGTATATCAATATATCCACATTATAATGGCTGTTATCAAAAGAAATTGACAAGTGGAGGCTGTGGAAATGGAGAAAATGAAACTGTCATGGAAAACAAGTTTGGTGACTCCTCAGAGATTTAAATAGAATTATCATTTGATCTAGCAATTCCATTCCTAATTATATACCCAAAATAAGTGAAACCAAGAACCGAAAAGAAACACTTGTATGCCAACATTAACAGCATTATTTACAACCCAAGGGTCTATTAACAGATGAGTGAATAAAAAAGTTGTGCACACATGCAATAGAATATTATTCAGCCATAAAAAGACTTGAAATACTGTACTGATACATGCTACCACATGAATGAACTCTGAAAATACTATAAGTGCAAAAAGCCAGAAACACACAAAAAATACACTGTCTTTGATATGAGGTAATGAGGCTAGACAAAGTCATGGAAACAAAGTAGAACAGAAGCTATTAAGGACTAGTGGGGAAAGAAGATACAGAGTTTTTGTTTAATGGGTACAGAGCATCAGTTTGGGATGATGAAAAAGTTTTGGAAACCAATATTGACGATGGTTGCACAACATTGTGAATGCTCTTAATGCCAATGAACTGTACTCTTTTTTGGTACCAGGGATCGAACTAAGGACCTTGAGCTTGTGAGGCAGCCAGCAGAACCACTGAGCTAAATCCCCAGCCCAATGAACTGTACTCTTAAAGGGGCTAAAATAGTATACTTTGTCACGATAAAGAATTCCACTTTATGGGCTGGGGATTTAGCTCAGTGGCACAGCACCTGCCTCGCAAGTGCAAGGTCTGAGTTCAATCCCCGATACCAAATAAAAAAGAATTTCACTTTACACTTTAGAAATTATTCAACACTGAATGAAGTTCTACATGATTCCCATTGTTTCTTATGATAATGGTCAGAACCAAAACAACGGTTAAAAGGTGTGGTAGACAGTCCTAGACTAAAATACTAGCTTTACTATTAACTAGCTTATTATATAAATACAATAAACCAGGACAGAAGGTCCTAAGAAGTTGAAGTTAGCTGCCATTGTTGTGTCTTTATCATATAAAAACCACATGGAAAGCAGCAACACATTTTATTACAGATAATGGTAAAATTCTGGTACATCAAATAAATGAAAAAGGGAAGTCAAACCAGTGCGGGAGAAATATTTCTTTCAATATGATAAGGAGTGAATATCACTGATAAATGGACCGCAAATCAAAAGGTGAGAGAGCAGAGAGGTAAGGAAGGCATCGGGCTGCCTGGATTCCAGAAAAGGCCTCTCTGAAGGTGAAAGAGGCCACATGTTAACTGAGACATGTTAGAAGAAAAGCAGGTGGAGGGGGAAAGGCTGGGGTCACGGGAAAAGGCTCCCCTCTGGGTGGAGACAACAGCCAAAGCAAAGGCCAGAACACAAAAGTACTCCGTGGATTTGAGGAACTGAGAGGAAGAAGTGCTGTGAGCCTGGAGAAGTGAACCAGGGACAGAGCGGCAAGTGACGGACTGAGAGGGAGGGAGGAGCCAGGTCTCATGGCCTGGACAGATGTGACAATGACTCTAACCTCGGAGCAAAGCTACGTGAGCACGGAAGTGATGGCGTCTGGTGCACTTGCAAAAAGACCATTTCACTTCCACCTGCTTTGTACAAAATGGATGGAGTAGGAAGGCAGACTGCAAGCAAAGACAAGAGCTGGCAAACTACCTTAAATTAGAGATGACAGCATCTTAGATTCCCAATAGTAACAACAAAATACTTAAATCAGTCTGCATCGGTAAGAGGAGAGAATATTCCGTTTCATTACTCCAACCTAAGTTAGTTAAAATCACACATGCAAACTGGCGAAGGCTAACAATGGACAACACACAATCCCGATGAGTATGTTGGGAAGGCACGGAATTTGGTATCTAACCTACCAAACTCTTAAAGCGTTTTCACTTAGTAACTAGCACACAATAAGTCTTATTGTTGAATACATTAATATGAATTTTAGAAACCACATTTAAAGAAAAACAGGAATTTTGTTCAAAGCTGTAACTGCAGCACATTGTATTTGCAAAAACAAACAAAAACCTTAAGAACAATCTAAATATGCAACACGAGTGGTTGATGACAGCTTATGACAAAATATTATGCGGACTTTAAGATCCTGTTCATAATGCAGGCCTGTCCTCCTAACTACTTAGGAGGCTGAGGCAGGAGAACCCTTAGATTCCAGGGTGGGTAACCTAGTGAGACCCCTTGTCAATATTTTTTTATCATGTTGATTAAATGATTTCTAGATTTGGAAAATGCTGACATTTTAAAACCTTACAAAATTAAGACAGCAGATTAACTTTTAGTATAAATGAAGATAGGAGGCCATCAAATAATTAAGTAGTAAAAATTTTATACTCAGACTATAATCAAAACCTGACATTTGCTCAGAAAATTTATATTCTCATTATGAGATGTCGTCAGTATGTTACAGTGCTAGTCTCTCTAACCTGTAAAGGAAGATAACAATCTAAAACTCGAAAAAGGGAAGCTCGGAAAGTTTCACTTTTGTGGTTGTCTTAGTAACAAGAATAAACACACGCAAAGTTTGTCACTCCGTATCCCAAGGGCCTAGCATGGCGCCAAGAAATTCAAAGCCTCAGAATGCGCGAGATCCCGCTAATGATGAAGATGATGATATTTTGCGTGACTCCAATGTACTGGGTAACGCGCTTCATCTTTCAAAGTTACTGTCACACTTTAAAGACCAGGACTCGGGTTCAAACAATGTTAGGAAACGGGCCCCAGGTGACGAGGCAGCAAGACCTGAACTCAAGGCCGCACGCGGCTCTCTGGCGACGCGAGGTTTCTTTCCCCAGGCTTCGCCCCGATTTTCCCGCCTCCCCCGCAGTCCACTTAGGATTTGCCAACTTCTGCCTCGTAGCGCAGTTCTCCTTCTCGCTCACCCCACACCCACACACGCACGCGCACTCCGTGACGGCCGACAGAGTTAACCACCGGCTCGCTGGCGGCAGCGCTCGGAACCGCGCTCCGGTTCCTGCCTGGCCCGGTGCCCTGGGGTCGGACCAGAGCGG